CACTATAGAAAGCAGTGTGAAGAACTATTAAAAGACCATATGATTCAGTTATACCACTCCTTGGCATATACCCAAAGGACTCATCCTACTGCAGAGATATTGGTGCAGCCATGTTTGTTGCTGTTCTTTTTACAATAGCTAAGAAATGGCAACAACTTAAGGGTTCCTCAACTGATGAATGGAAACAACGTGAAGGTCCCTCAATTCATGAATGGATGATGAAAATGTGGTACATTTACACAATGGAGTTCTACTCAGCGGTAAAGAATGAAATCATGAAATAGCAAGCCAATGGAAGGAATTGGAAACTGTTATACTAAGTGAAGTAACGCAGACTGAGAAAAACAAGAGATGTATGTTCTCTCTCACTTGTGATCTTAGCTCCAAATCCCTAGGTGTGAGTATATATTTGAATGTAACTGCGTTCAGATCCCAGTTCTACTATCAGAGAAGAGTGGCTGTGGGCAAGGAGTCTAACCTCCTGTTGCCTCTACTTCCTGACCTGGGGAGGAGGACGACAGAGGTGCAGAGTGAGCATTGGAACAGGACTTAAAGCTGCCAGGGTTGCTGTGAGCAGAGCTAGTGTATCACTTCCCAGCCAGGGACAGATTCTCCAGAACTGTGTGTGTGTGTGTGTGTGTGTGTGTGTGTGTGTGTGTGTGTGTGTGTGTGTGTGTGTGCGCGCGCGCGCATATGTATAGCTAAAGACTATGTAACAAGAAACACAGTGCCAGACAGGAGAAACCTCTGAGTTATTTTTGTCAGGATAGTCCAAGAGACTCACAAAATGACAGAAGCTACTGCCACAGCCCTTGACTGACTCCCAGAATTTGAAGGTAAGACCCTATGCTGAAGATAGGATATACGTCAGACAGAAGATTTGAAGTAATGGAGCTGCAACTGACCTGGAAGCCTCCTCCCTGAAGACTAGCTCTCATGGTATCAGTAAGCTGCTAAGGGAGAAAGCCAAACAATGGTCCAATCCAGCTGTAAAGCCTAATAACCACAACAATGACCAGTGTAGCAAACTATCACTATTGGTGCAGTAGTAGCACTTTTATCTTGGGGACAATCAACAGCTATCTAGTTGACTGGTCAGAGTAGCTCAAGAGACTCCCAAAGAACACAGGCTCTTCCCAGAGCTCTTGGTTATCTCCCAGAACTGGAAGATAAGACCTTACTGCTGAAGACAGGACATATTTTGGACACAGGACTTGGAGCAATGGAGCAGAAACTGACCTGGAAGCCTTCTATCTGAAGTTTAGCTCTCATAGTTCTAGAGGATACTATACAAGCTGCTAAGGGAAAAAAGGCAATCAGTGGTCCAACCCAGGCCTAAAGCCTAATTATAATGACTGTCACTATTACCTAGGGGGTAATCAACAGCTATCTAATTGGACTTAAAGTCCTCTCAGTAGGAGTGAACTCATGGGTGGCAATGTAAACATAGCCAGATACACATGATTGGAGAGGTGATAAATCCTAAAGAAAACCCTGTCTCTGTAATATCTTTAGGCAAATGAAACTTCTTACCATATGCTAAGTACGGATCATTATATTTACAGACATATATACCATACATCACTCATCAAAAAAGCTTCTTTTTAGCAACAGATGGAGGCTACTGCAGACCACAACTGGTCACACACAGAGAATATATGTCTGGGAGATGCCCAGTCCTAGGTAATGTATCTACAGTTGAAACTCTACACCTAAGGCTCACGAACATAGCAGAAAAATAGGTGGAGAGAAAACTAGTGCATCCCTCAACTCTCGCCAGTGAAGTTTTCTTATACAACAGAGTGCCACACACAAAGAAGGTCACAACTGGCCAAGTTTTAAAGAATAAGAGACTACAGGGTATATGTCCCTGGATAGGACTCCTATATTATACCTCACCCACCCACGGCTCAGGGACCATTGCAGAAAAGGGGGCAGAAAGATTGTTAGAGTCAGTTGGTCCATGAACTGAGTTGGTCCATGGCTTTCCGATCACTGGAAGCTTGCACATGTGAACTTGTAGCAATGGTGGCACTGAGCACAGGACCCATGCCAACTCAATTAGACAAGGGCCCAGAGTGGAGTAAGGGAAATGGGCAGCAAGCCAGCCCTAGTCTAGGAACTGTTGGAGACTAATTACTACTGGGTGAGGGAGGGTAGACCTTACTTATGATCTCTAGATAGGCTGATTAGACTCCAGTGGATGAATTTGCACCAAAGGACATCTGGGTACAAATGCTTGACTGGATAGGACTTAACATGTATGATGGAATACATGAGGTCCAGTGGGGTGGGGGAACAGGGATGGCGAGGGGGTCTAAATTTGATTAAGAACTGTTGTATGTGCTGGGTGTGGTGGCACAGGCCTTTAATTCGAGCACTCAGGAGGCAGAGGCAGGCAGATCTCTGTGAGTTCGAGGGCAGCCTGATTTACCTAGTGGTCAGCTGGGGCTACAGGGAGACCCTGTCTTGCTAAAAAAAGAGAGAAAGAACTGTTGTATGAAATGTATAAAAGTTGCTCAATAAATTTTTTTTAAAAGAAAAAAATGAACTTGTACATACTATATGGAAAACATTCACAGTATATAAAATATAAAATTCAAAGATTCATAAAATATTCATATGTTTTATATAAGAAAATTATGTTATAAGTAATTATTATATAAAAGAGGACAAGAAAATACTCAAATAAAACTAGCTGGGCGTGGTGGCGCATGCCTGTAGTCCCAGCACTTGGGAGGCAGAGGCATATGGATCTCTGTTGAGTTCAAGGCCAGCCTGGTCTACATAGTGAGTTGCAGGCCAGCTGGGAGTACAAGGAGATCCTGTTTCAAAAAGAAGGAAAAAAAAAACCTATAAACATTAGTTACCTCTGTAATGTTAGAGTGGCTTAAAGAGCTTTTATTCTGATTTTAAAAATGATGCTTGTACATACATTGAAAAACTATGGAAAGTTATATAAAAATTCATACATTATTTTTGGAAGGTTATACAAAATAACAAGACATTTATAATATTTGAATTTTTGTTTTGTTTGTTTGTTTTGACAGGGTCTCCTTAGTCCCACCCTCCTGGAAGTCACTATGTGGACCAGACTAGCCTCATTTCATGCCCAGCATGAATTTTTGGTTTTTTGAGTCAGGCCCCAGCTGGCCTGGAACTCACTTACATAGACCAGGGTTGGCCTCAATCTCAGAGATCCACCTGCATCTGCCTTCTGAATGTTGGGGATCAAAGGCATGTGCCATCATACTTGGCCTGTTTGAATATTTTTAATAGACATGAATTTCTTTAATAGACATGAATTTTTTTAATAATCAGGAAAATCAATAATCATAATTACATTACAAAAAAGTAGCTCTTCATCATAACTTCTTGTAAAGTTTATGAAATAGGCTCAGAAGATAGCTCAGTTGGAAGTACTTGCCTTGCAAGCATGAGGATCTGAGTTTGATCCCCAGAATCCACATTTTTAAAGAACTTGGTATGGCTGGGGCTGGAGAGATGGCTCAGCAGTTAAGAACACTCACTACTCTTGCAGAGGACCTGGGTTCGATTTCCAGCACCCACATGGCGGCTACAAACGGTCCTTAACTCCAGTTCCAAAGGAATCTGAAGCCATCTTCTGACCTCTGCAGCATTGCACAACACAGGTGCACTCACATACATGCAGGCAATACAGTCATACACATAAAATAAAAATAAATAAAAATATTTTTTAAAAACTTGGCATGGTAGTACATGTACTTGTAATCCTAGTACCTAAGAGGCAGAAACAGGAGGATCTCTGGGTCTTACTGACCAGCCAGAGACCCTGTCTCAAAAAACAGGTGGGTAGCACCTGAGAAACACCTGAAGTTGTACTCTGGCCTCCATATGCACCCACATATGTGTGCACCACTCTGCACACTCATACACATATACACACACACACGTTTAGAAAATATAAGTACCATATTATCTACAGTTTTCCAAAATATTACAACTGAAGAAAATGAGTGTTCATGGGCTCTTTCTACATGAGAATTTACAGTTATCTCAATAAAAACTTATCTAAAAGAAAAGCAAACTAGGCTAAAACAAAAAAGAA